TGGGCTCAGTTTTATTCAAGAAGATGAACAAAAAGCATCATTCACAGAAAACACAAGGATCCAAACAAGTCAGGTTTAAGTCCAGCTTTAGATCATCACAAGCTGCTGCTGGCTGAAGCTCACTAACTTGTACCACGTGTTGATTTTATTTCCACATTATTGCATGTTTATGTGGAATAATCCATGTAATTAAGAAATCAACACGTACTGATTCAGCCTCGTGTTTCTTATGTTCCGCTACAGAACCTCTACAGAACCTCTACAGAACGTCTCCATCGTCTCCCCGCTCTGAGCCTGAAGCAGCGATAACTCTGCCTGAGCGTCCCCGAGGAAACCAGAGTCTCCATCAGGACAGGATGAGGAGGTTGCTAAGCAACTGGTACCTGGCAGCATGTTTCCTTCCTCCAATTAAAAGAGCAAACCTGCCCGGGAGGAGCAGAACCCACTGATGAATCTGCTAATTGCTCGTGTCCACACAGATCAGATAATCTTCTCCACTGCGCTGTTATTAGAACAACCGCTGCACTGAAGATCTTAATGAGACAAATTGGGGACAGAGTTTAAACCTGATGATACACCGATTATCTGCTGCATTTCTGTTCTGTTAGCTGAGTTCAACACAAACTGGTTCCAGTTTAAAGTCAAACGTCTGACTGGGACGGCACAGTGAGGCGCTGAGAGCTGCTCTGGACCGGATCAGAGTAAAACCAAACTGGGTTTCACATACTAAGAGTTTCTTTAACCCACTGTCAGGTTTAAAAAGCATGTTGTAGTTTTTCTAATTTGCAAAACGACAATTTATCAAATCCGTAAAAACACAAAAAAAACACCAGATTTACAACTTTAATGTGGGTCTTGTCCAAATCGTGTCCAATGTTCCATTAGTTTGGGAAAATTAATCAAATCTAAGCTTAAAATCATAAGATTTCATCAAAACCACCTGACGTGTCTTATTTTACAAGATGACAAAAAAAAACAGTCAGCACCTCCTCACCATGAATCCTATCTCCTCACTATGAGTCCTATCTCCTCACCATGAGTCCTATCTCCTCACCAAGAGTCCTCTCTCCTCACCATGATTCCTATGTCCTCACCATGAGTCCTATCTCCTCACCATGACTCCTCTCTCCTCACCACGGTTCTGTCTGTTAATTCATCGGTCCAGGTTCTTACCACTCCGATAGAGAAGTAGTTGTTGACGATGCTGTAGGGAACCGGGTCTCCTTTCTCTTCCTTGTCGTCGGGGACGATGTCGATGTTCCAGCGGTCCAACACCACCTCGGTACTGTGCTCGATGTCCCTCAGGAACTTCAACAGGCTGCCGCCCTCGTAGCCTACAGAGAGGACAGGAAACAGTCAGACAGGAAACCATCAGACAGGAAACAGTCAGACGGGAAACAGTCAGACAGGAAACCGTCAGACGAGAAACAGTCAGATGGGAAACAGCCAGACAGGAAACAGTCGGACTGGAAATAGTCAGACTGGAAACAGTCAGATGGGAAACTGTCAGATGGGAAACAGTCAGACGGGAAACAGTCGGACTGGAAACAGTCAGATGGGAAACAGTCAGATGGGAAACAGTCAGATGGGAAACAGTCAGACGGGAAACAGTCAGACGGGAAACCATCAGACGGGAAACCCAGAGCTCCTTCAGAACCAGCTGACATCAGTAGAACCAGATCTTTGTGCTCAGGCTGGACGTCGTGGAGAAAATCCCTCATAACCAGGTTTCTAAATCTTTAGTTTCAATCGTAATTTCTCAACTTGAATAACTATTTTAGAAAATCTAAATCTGAAACTGAATTTTTTAACTTGAATTAAAGTAATCAGTAGATAAATTATCAGCAGGAAACATGACGAGTGAGATCCAGGAAGTTTTGAATTTCTCAACCTGAGTAACTGTAAGATAAATCTAAATTTGAATCTTATTCTTTGGATTCATTGGATGGAAACTGAATTCCAATGAACTTAAAAAAAACGAGTTGTGATATTATTTTAGAGACCTGAGTTCAGTTTCAAGTACGTTTGACTCAGAAATCCTCTGCAGACGTTTGGAGGCTGTTGGTTTTAGAATCATATTGGTTGTGTGTCTTCGTACTTTTTTCAAACGAGATCATTTCAATGTTTTAAATAGTTAATTAGACCAAGTCTGCTGGTTCACTGCTGTGTAATTATTCCAGATTCAGGAATCAGGTGAAGCATTGAGGCTTTAACTGACAGTCAGCTCTGAGCCGCTGGAGGAGATTTTCCAAAACCATCATTTCAGCCGATTCATATTTAAATCTCCCGGTTTCTGCAGAGAGACTGAGGAGGTTCAGACGTGGAGCACAAAGGCGGTGATGAGGAGAAGCAGGACTCCAGCCGAGCGGCTCTGCGGGAGGTTCTGGATCGAGTTTGTTCAGGAGTTTAAGTCTGGTCCCAGCAGGAAGCACACCGACGTCTTCCTGCTCCGGCTCCTCAGACAACATCCAGGTGCAGCTCGGCTCTCTGCATACGGAGTAACCGACTGCCATTAAACCCACTGCTTTGTGAGGTAATTCATGTAAAAGCGTTTCCCAAGTCCAGGTGACAAATGTATGGTTTGTCCAAATATATTCAGTTTACCGTCACAGAGGAAAGAAACCAGAAAATAGAACCTTTCATGTTTTTTTTTTAAAAATAGTTCAGCTCATAATCAGTGATGATTTATTCTAAGTGTCTAATATGACAGATTCTGAATCAGTGACATGATGAGAAATATGTTTCTGGTTTTATCTCTAATAGCTCCTCAGATGTTGTTGTGGAAAACTCTGATGTGAGAATAAACCTGCTGAACGGGTCGATTCAGAAACGACTGATTGAGCTCAAACTTCACATTTTAAATATTCAGAGTTTGTTATTAAAAAGTTGAAGGTGAGCTGGTCGAGCAGAACGATGATGAGCTGAGGTGGAAAAACCCCGACGTGTGATGAATTCACACCATAAATAACCCCACAGCGGGTCACTTCCTGTTTAACTGGTCCGCTTCATTTGCACCAATCAGAGTGGTTTTTACTGGAAACACTTGGGTGCGTTGGTGGAGCGTCAGTTCTGCTCCTCAGGTGAAACCATCGCTGCTCCGTCTCTTTATGTCTGAGTTCTGGTCCCAGAGCTCAGCGGATCCGGCAGCTTATTGACTGGATATTAGTTAGCGCTGCTCATAACCAGCAGCTTTAATTAGTTAATGCTGCTCATAACCAGCAGCTCTCATCACAAGACTGACGTCAGCAGCCTTCTGCACATCAGCGCTCTGGAGTCCAACGCTTCCCTGAAACTCCCGGCGAGGTGTGAAGCTGCAACACGGACCTGAGGCTGTTTAGAGTCGATTCAGGGAGCAGTTCAGGATTTTCTTTCTTCATCGAGTCACGTTTGTTTCTCATCGTTCCTTGAAAAGACACCTGAACTCCACACCTGGACGCTTCAATCACACGTTTAACTGTCTGAGTCCTCACCTCCTCCCCAGCGAAGGCAGCGAGCCAGATCGTTCCCGGTCCCCAGAGGAAGGATCGCCACCGGAGGGTGTCGGGAGAAGTTGGCCTTGTCTGCACACAAACCACACGTTTAGAAAGCTTTAGAAAGATGATCCACTGAGCAGCTTCTGTTGTGTTCTTGTTCTGCTGCACATCACTATCTGCTCTGCACTCTACACTTATTGTACATTTTGCATTTTATATTTCTTGTTGTTTATTTTTGCTTATTCATCTGTATTTGTGGTGGAGGTGACTTTTTCTTTGTGCTCTAACAAACACGTCCCCTCTGGGATTAATGAAGTATTTCTATTGTGTTCTATTGTGTTCTATTCTGTTTGTTTCTGTGGCTGTGATGAAGTCAGAGTTCGACGACGCACGACGCTGAACTGATGCAGCTTCACGACGTCACCGCTCAGGATGATGTCTGAATCTAATTCATTAAATTAGATTCTGCATTCAACACAAACAGGTCCTTTAAATTACTTTTTAAAATGCAGACTAGTAATTAAGTCAAATTACCTTCAATTGTCTAGTTTGCTTGATTTAAAACTCTGAGTCATTTCTCGTGAATTAAATTTCAAATGTCAGATTTTTTTTGTTGGAACACAAAACGTCACCAGACGGATAAATATAAACACGACGTTTAACTACAGGAAGGTAGTGAGTAAAGAAATCCACATTGATCACAACCAATAAAAGAAATGTTAAAAGTTATAAAAACCAAGTTTGTCCTGAACTTTAAATATTCATTAAACCTGTGAACTCGCAGCAGGTTTGAAAGTTAATTAAAAAAAAGCCAACATGACTGTAAAACCAGACAGAACAGTTGGACTGTGTCCCGTTCCATCAGGACAACAACCAACAATAAAATCACCACATTCAATCAGAATCACTCTTTTCTACAAATTCTCATTTGAAAATGTGCCAAATGAAATAGTTTAAATAGATCCTGTAAAAACCTAAAAACTCTGAACTCCAACTCAGGAAAGAAACTGAAAATATTGATGTAAAAAAAGACCAAAGAGGATCTAAAGTGACAAAAACGTCTTCAAAATGCTAAAAAATAAAAATAAAAATACTCAACATGACAGAAGACTTGTCAGAAATGATATAAGTTTGTTGAAAATGATCAAAAACCCTTAAAAATGATCAAAAATCAGACGCACTGGGTCCAAAGTGACTGAAAAGATGATTCAGAATTAGACTAAAGACTTTTTTTTTAAAATGGAGGAAAAGTCTGGAGAGGCTGGAAACAGACACACGGCGATAAAAATGATAAAAATGATCCAGAAAACAACACACAGAGACAAAACCGTCACACGGAGACACAAAATGACCAAAACAAGACACAAATAAAACACAAACTGACAGTTAATAATAAAAATGACCACAAACAGACAAACAAACAAAAACAAACAACAACAAAAACACATGAAACGACGTAAACGAGAGACGATAAAAAAGATGTGAAACGTTTTCCTTCAGAACAGAAACTGGCTCGTTTCTCGTTCGTCTCTTGTTTTTTGTGACTTTTCTCCACTTTAAGCTTCATTTGTTTATTTTCTCGACAGAACCAGAACCAGAACCACACTCGGGCTCGGCTGGCCAATGGTGTCGCTTTGGCATTTTAGAAAAAGATAATCAGCGTCTAAACACGCCGACAGCTTTCATCCAAGAAAATCTAACGTTTCATGTTCTGGTTCTGTTGCGCTGCAGTCAAAATGTTTTTAAATAGACCCAGACAGAGTTCAGAACCCCGGGCACAGTGTCCTGTCAGAGGGGCGGTCGGTACCGATGCAGTCGAGGATCCAGCCCACCGTCCCGTCGCCTCCACAGGCCAGAACCCGGAAGTCCGGGACGTCGTGGAAGAAGTTCAACCTGAGAACACAGAGAACAGTTGAAGTCAGGCGGGTTCTGGTTCTGCTGCTCCGACCACAC